CACCTTTTGTGGAGCAATTTTCAGGAACCATCTCGAAGGAATTGACGCAATAAAAGGTTTTCAGTGCTCTTATAATATGAAATGAAGTTATTTTATCTTCAAATCAAGTTATCAAGAAATCAAGTTATTTTATATTATAATTTTGTGGATCATAACGTGGAAATAAAAATCTCATCTATAAAAAAGGGGTGCAATTGCCCCACCTTGCCCCACACTGTGCACGCCAGTGATCATGAGGCGTTACTGCAACTACTTAGGCATTTCAAATGACTGCCATTGAAATAGTTTTTGAATTATCATGTGATTTGAGGTATCGTTAATGTTGATGATGGGTTTTTACCCTAGTCATACACCGTTTGAAAAATTCATGTAAATTTCTGCGAGATATAGCGCACATAAAATTAACGCTAGATTTGGCATAAATTTACGCGATATTTCGTGTAAATTTAAGCGCAATACTGCATAAATTAGCAATATTGTATGCAAGCTTGTAAACGATTTCGCTGTTTATGCCAAGTATAGCTAAAATTAAACGAAGGGAGATTTAACGCGATAGTTAAAATTCAGAATTTTTTTCTGTGTACTCCGGCCAGGGTGATAAAGAGCCTCAAACCATGCAAACAAATGTTATGCACATTCTACTCTTTCTTACCACTGTTTATCGTGTATTTTGCGAAACTTGTCGTCGTCTTCGGTGCCGAGTTTGAATGGTTGCAACAACTCGAGTAACGGTATGGTGTGATATCAGGGGCTCGGTTCCCTTACAGCAACCGTTTTTGCTTACTGAGTAGAACATCATGAGTCTAATCTCAGACACATACACATTCAAGATTCTTCAATCGTTTTATTTGTTAATATGACAACATGGTAATAACAGCAACTCGATGCTTACAAAGGAGCTCGATTGTTTAGTGGCATACGTTTGTGAATGCTGAGCAGAAGATTGTGGGTTCAGTCGCCAAGCTGCCAAGACATCAATTCAACTTATCGTTTACCAAAACGAACCCTGCTGCAAACCCAACCCTCTTATCCTACATCCCAGTGATTGCTCGTGCAAGTGCAGAGGACTCCTCGGCTTCCATCAAAGCGAGTGTCACGTCAACTCATTCCTACCCCTTCGTTTCTTGACCTGTGTGCGGGCGCGGCCGGCACTGGTATTGCCTAGTTTGAGATCACCAGTTTTTACACATTGTGGATCAATTCTAGTCCCAAGCAACGTCTATTGATTCTTTGTATGATTACAGCTGATTTGGCAGCAACAGAGTAGCAACCGTGGGCGGTCAATCATACTCATGCTCATGCTCACGATAATCTTTTCCCTCATGGGCAGAGGCGTAACTAGCTTGTTGGGCTGGGGGGGGGCTGCATGTCCCTAGCTGACAAGACATAAGCCATCGGTAGTATTTGGAGGGAGATTACTTTATTCTATATACTTGTACTATTCACATTAAGTTCATTGATCTAAATGATTTCAAACATGTATCAAAAATGTACCCATATTCAAGTTATTTTGAGGTTTTCGACTTCAATAAAAGTTACAGATGTTGTTTATTTAAAAGATATATTTATTTCAGTCCAAAAAAATACCTTGACGAATGCGTTTTCTCGAATTTTAAGTTTCACACGAGTTTTACTTTTCGGTTGCCTTTAGCAAACTTGCTGGGAGCTGGTTCAGGAGTAACCTTTTCCTTGACAAATTCATTTTCAATGTTAAGTACCGCTGGTGATGAAAACCGGTCTTGGAACATAGTAGTTCTCAGCCACGTTTTGATGCGCCTCATGGCCGAAAAGCTTCTCTCACACCCTGCAGACCAATGGCTGTTTGTAAGGACTTGTACATGTTAGGTGTGAGGTCTTCTCTAACTTCACTTTTAAGATTTTTGAGGTTACATGACATTTGAGGACATTTTTCAAGACGATTGCTTCCGCTGTTAGCACAGTTTTGTCGATTTCCTATACGTCAATATACGAATTCTGCGGAAGCTTTACGTGATTTTAGGCATCTCTATTGTTTGTGAAATTTCATTTTTACCATATGTTACTTCTTATTAGAGCAGAACAAATATGTATTGTGAAATAAATTATATTTTTCAGTTCCGAATTCCAAATTAAAGTTCGATGTTAAATACTTAATGCAAGATTAAAAAATTATGCAAGAAATCCAACAACTTCAAATTTTATACATTTTCCGACATATTATTTGTTAATCACCCCTGTTTATGACCCACCGAATTGTGGGACAAAAAAAGAAAAAAAATGTTCTTTTTACATTGAATTTTAAGCATGATTAGGTATTATGTTCACTGGTTAAACCAGAGTGGCCAGTGACTTTTCATTTTGAAATTCCCGTTTTTCCCGGTACGAATCTCCAAAATTTCCCAGTTTTAAATTTTTAGTTAAAAGTAAAAGTGGTTATTTTTCCTTAAATCATGACCTTCACTTTTATAATCAATTTCTATCACTTTTTTAAACCTTATGTTTCACGCCAGCCCAGACCTTATGTTTTTCAAAACTTCAGAATTTTCTGAGAAATAGAGATATTTATAATGGTCACTAGGCAGGGACACTATCGGCCTGAATGGGTCATTAGATCAAATTTTAAATAAGGAATTAATTGATAAATGGAAATGGAATTGTTTTAGAATACTTTAACAAAAAAAAATAACAAATGAGATCTAGTGAAATTTCTTGGAGAATGTTTTGGGATCTAGGAATGTTGACAAGAATGTGAGGCTTTAATATTTGTTTAGAGTCTTAGACTATGACATTTTTTCGAAATTTTTAACTTTTACAAATCTTAGTGATCCTTAATTTAGAGAGCAAAAAAACAGAAGTTAATCTGGAATTGAGCAAAACAAACTATCAAAAATTATCAAGGTTCCAGATATCGCCCTGAAAAAAAATCAAGGCTTTGGGATTCAGAAGAATTTTCAGGGTTCTTAATTTTTTAAGATTTTTTTATAGAACTCTGCCGAGAATACCCATGGAGTTTTGCGGAAGGATTTAAAAGGAATTGAAAAAAAAATTGAGGAAAAAAAAATTGGGGAAACATTCTAAGGGAGCAACATTCCAAGATAATTTTGAGATAAATTTCTAAGAAATTGTGAGAAAAAAGGAAGTTTTGAATTGAATTCCTAGGTGAATCTGAGGAAAATAGTAGGAGAATTAAAGTAGAATTCCAAAAAGCTTCCGATTAGAGTTCAAAAAGAATTATAGGTATAATTAAAAGGGCGTTCTGATGATAATTTCAATACTGATATTGATGAATAATATCAAAGATAGCGTATTTTAAGAAAAATTCTAAGAACAAATTATTAACCATGAATATGCAATGTATTAAGCAATTTAAAATCACAGCAGAATTTATTCTGAATAATCTGGAAAATTAATTGCTCCAGTATTTATTTCTGCAATTTTCTGGGGGGCCAACCCAAGGTCTGGGGGGCAAGCCCCTCCCAGTCCCCCTCTATTTACGCCAATGCTCATGGGAATCGAGAAAAACTGCAAATGTTCATGCGTTTAATTATTGGTAGGTTAGCAGATAGGAAAATGGTTTCCTAACATTTCTTGTTGGAATCTGATACCAAAGCAAAAAAAAAAAACATGAGTTTATAGGGCACTATTGATTTATAAAAAAAAAAGTTGGGAGGTCTTCTTCTTCTTATTCGTATTTCAAAGCTCAGTGTTCTAAATGCACTTCCGAAGTTATTAATTGAGAGCTTTCGATGCCAATACCAATGTATGAATTCGTAAATTTTTAAGCACAATGATACGAAAGATTCCCTTTACCGGACCGAGATTCGAACCCGCCGCCTCCGGTTTGGTAATACCTTGCCTTTACTGACTAGGCTATGAGGCCTAGTTGTGAGGTACTTAGTGGATAAAGTAAACTTTTAGTTGTGTGACCTTTTGTTCTAGATCGCTAAGTGCATTGGTGTTGCCGCTAAGGGCTGTTCTTATGCTACGTGTTGAGAGAGGGGGGGGGGGGGGGGGTTATCCACGACTCATACAAATTTTTAAATTTATGTTTGAACTATTTTTTGACATCCTATATCACCATGTTTCAGATTGATCATAACCTACCAGTTACCCAGAAGAGAACCCTTTTGTCAATTACACAAGTTTCTCTCGATAGAATATAGAATAAAATCATCTGGCCTTTGGTCACATCAATTCGCCAGACAGTCCAAGCGAACTTGACTGCAATGGAGTACACTTTCATTCCATCCTTCATCGCTTCTGAAAAAAATGCTGTCCTGCACGATCCGGTGGCAATTATCCTCATCAATCATACTTCACCAGTGGGATTTGCATAGTCACGGATCTTTTAAATGTTAAATATGGATCCGCTTAGTAGAGTAGACTTAAACCTGATTCTAAAGAAAGGTCCTTCTATATCACTAGTGACACAATTCGAAACGAGTGCAAAGAAGTTGAAAACAATCATCGGTGTGACTCATGGCAGCATGGAGATGCACTCAGCAGGCAGTTAAAAACAGATGACACTTTATCGTTGACGCCTGTTTCTTTTTTTTTTTTTACTTCGTGGGCCAAGGTTGTGTAAGATTGTGGCATCGCTCCGTTGAAGAGTAACGATGCTCAGTTTATGATTTATGAAGCACTTAAACTAAAACAGAGAAATGAATTCTGTTTACTGCGGATGTTAAATATTCATAATACAAGAATTCTAAACACTAACCTAGTAAAGCTCTCAGTATGTCAAGTTTGAACACCACCTGTTTGACCGAGATTTACCGCCCAGTTCTAGTTCAAGCGCCTTCCGTTCCACGCATGCAAACGCTGAACAAGCCACGCTCGAGCTTCACCTGTGTACTAGAGCATGACTGAAATCGCGCTGTCCGATAGATCATCGGGGTGGATGAATGAACTCTTTTAAGAATCGATCAAAGGTGTACTTTATTATAAAACCTCCTCTTATCATCCAACAAAACATCAGTAATCGATTAGAACTCGGAGTCGTACAACCCATAGTTCCTAAAATGTTCAAATCAATTTTGCTACTAGCCTCGCTGCTTTTCATTACGGTGGAACCCTCGCCTGCCAAGCCCAAGACTCTGCTTTACCACACTGAAGTAGAACATGGTCCTGTGAAAGCAGTCAAATCGATTAAACCCAAACAACAACCGCACCATTTAGGAGAAGTGGAAAGCGATCTGGGAGAAGAACACAAAGACTATTACGCCTATCCCATGTACAAGTTCGAGTATGGGGTTAAGGATACCAAAACTGGAGATCACAAGAGCCAGTGGGAGATGCGGGATGGAGACATTGTGAAAGGTTTGTTGCTCTAAATATGACGTGATCTCAATCGAGAAATTAAAAAACAATTGCTATCATTCACCCAGGTTCCTACACCTTGGACGAACCGGACGGTACCCAACGGATCGTTGAATACCGTGCCGACGATAAAAATGGATTCCAAGCCATCGTCAAAACGATCGTCCGGCCTGTTCATCAACATCATCAAGCGGAACAGCAGCTGGGCGCGGAAGGCTCCGAAGGACAAGGCCACCACCACGTCGTAGGTCACAGCTATAGCAAACTGAAAAGATACAACTAACCGCGCAGTGTGTGTTGCTCATCTTCGTTTTGCGAATCATAGTCAGTGTGTGTGTGTGTGTGTGTTTGTGCATAAGGTGTTGCGAATAAATTGCGACTCGATCGTGCCTAAGTGGCAATTTATGTGCCCCTCAGTGAATGGTATGGTGTCTATTATATTGAATCGTATTGATGACGTCCGGTTGCAGATCGTGGAGAGCTGCTTCTGCCGCGAGGAATTTAGTTGTTAGAAATATTGGATGCTGCTGGCAGGTTGCTGGTTGACGCGGCGTGTTTCAGTCAGTCAGACAGTCAGCGGAAGGATTAAAGAGAGTTGTATGAATTAAACAATCACGATGGCTCGATCTGCTGCAAATTATAGAGCGCAACGTTCGATCGCGAGTTGGCACGATGAATTGATTATAATTCGATTTATCCAACAAAGATGGCATGGCCATATCCTTCGGCAAAGATGTAACGTCTAGCTGGGTGTTAGTTATGCGAAAATTATGATACGGTAGTTATTTGAGATTTTGCGCAGTGGTGCATTCTGCCAAATAGGGTCTCTTTTAACCTTTTTTACAAAGAATGGTACACATATCGCTTTGAAACCCGACTTTTGATCTGAAACTCGAAGGGCTGACTGTCATATCCACCAATCGACTCAGTTTGACGAGATCGGAAAATGTTTGTGTGTACGTGTGTGTATGTAACAAAAAAAAAAGTCCTAATACGTATTTCTCGGCAATCACTGAACGGAATTAGACGCAATAACCACAAAGATGAAAGGTTTTATGGTTTAATAGACCGTTTACGAATGCTTTATGATTCGGTCAACTGGTTTCGGAGAAATCAATGACACAAAATCCTAAAAACAGCTAATTAATTAATGTTTTTGGAACAGATCAACTGGTTCCGGAACATGGCCTGGTTTATATGAGCCATAAGACTAAATCCGTCTGGTAAACGAATAAAACCTATCATTGGCACCTCAAATGAAAGGAAAGAAATATTTTAGGAAATGGAAAAGTGGCGAGTTTCTGACTTGGGTCAAAATCCATCATGCGATACCTTAAATCACATCATATGAGCAGTTTTGATGGAATGTTCATTAGTAGGAAGGGTCAGATTTCACCAAAGGTTTGCCCAATCTCAATATGAGCTATGGATCATATTGACCAATGTTTAAATTTTAAGAAAACAATTACTTATTTTCTTTCCGTTGTCTCTTGAGGTACTTATATTGCCGAGAAAAAGATAAAAACCACGGATTTTTTTTTTGTATTGTTAAATCGACTGAATCTAGGGCGCTCGCTGAAAGATTGTAATTGGATTCAAAGATGAATGAAAATGGACATTCTGAATTTCCAAAACAGACCATATACCGACCATAATTTGACCTCAATCTGACATGATGGCGTTACGCAATGTGTCTATTCCAACTCTTTACTGATGTAAGCTTGGTGGCCCTGAAAAGGGCCGTTTTATTGAAGATGACATCCATGGCCACTTACGCTTGGCGTGTTTAGTGTAGGTGACAGCATCACGGACCTCATTTTTCAGGAACACCTTCAGCACACCTCGTAGATCAGACCGGAAATACGTTTGACACCACCACGGCGAGTCAGACGACCGATGGCGGTTATCTCGAAGAACTTTGCGATGACGCTCCTTTACCAGACCTTTTCCTCCTTTGCCACGACCAGTCAATTGTTGCTTGTTCGGTATGAAGGAGTGGACTAGCCACCATCTTCCTACTGCTGCTATTGCTGTTCACCACGCCGTCCGAAGCGTAAAATGAGCAAATGCCATACAGCAGGGCTCTTTAATATCTTTTCAGGTTAAAGCAGAATGATGTGCAACCAAGTGGTATAAAAGCTACAAAAACTCCTCCCATTATGAGTAGTTTGCTATCAAGTAGCGACACTGGCTCTTTTCCTTTTGTGTACACGGTGAATGAGAACGACCCAAATTTGAGTTTAGTTCACTCATAATCGCCAAAAGTGCAGGAACTCAGCGATGAGTAAATTTGTCTCATGGTTTCCTGTGGAAAACCTAAAAAATCTGCCATAAACTGAGGAAATTGACGAAATTTTTTTTCAGTCTCGGAGTAGTACCAATAGACTGAGTGAATCCAATCTTTACTTTTCTCAAATTCGGGAATTTTTCTCTGGAAAATCCTGGAAAAACCTGGGAAAACATGAGGAAAATTTACTCATCGCTGAGTTCCTGCACTTTATTTCTTATTTATGAGATAACTAAACACAAATTTGAGTCGTTCTCATTCGCCGTGATATCACCTTGAAAGATATCGGCGCCGGTGGTTAGCGTGATTACCTCTCACCCCAGCAGGCCTGGGTCCAATCTCAGCCGGCGCCACCGGCATGTTCTAAGGCACAACATCTCTGATCACGCCTTTCTTCGGGAAGTAAAGCCGTTGGTCCCCGGTTGAGTTGATGGGTCGATTGGTAGGGTCCAGGTGTGGGAGCTGCCTCCCTGGCGTCGGTAGCATTGGAGCTCAGTACGGAAAACAAATCTCGCGTCACTTTTCAATAGGTCCTATCTACATTGATCGATTCTCTTCATCGACACTCTCTTTTGTAAATAACTCCGCTTCACAAATGTTTCCTGCCGTCTTCGTCGAATTAGATGCTAGATTGTTGCTTCTTCCATCAAAAATATCCGGCCGTGGCGATTCAAAGTTGATCAAGGGTGATCAAAATAATTTGTACCCCTGCTTCCAGTTTGATTACATGAGCATTTTTTGTGGTCGTTGGTTCTGAATATGGACAAACAGATGAATGCCACTTCTACTTGTTTCGTCTACTTTCTACTCTCTGACGACTGTGCTGGGGAAGCAGCATATGCAAGTAGGTAATTGGTGGATTTGTTAGTTAATTTGATGCTTTTGGACAATTCTGGACATTTACCAGTTTTTCAATAGTTTCTTATTGAAAATCAATATTCAAAAGCTTTTTTATCAATGCGTAGCCATATTTCTGATCGATTGGAGATAAAAGTATTGAAATTGGACAAGGGGCAGCTGAGTTATTAACGTTCAAAATCTTTCTTAATTTGTTACATGTTCCATTTTTGGTTTTCACAAAGTGTACCCCCATATAGAAATCAAAGACGTAGTCCTATGTCAAAAACAGGTTAATCCAGAGCGTTATTAAATTATTGACTGCTTAGGCTGAGTGTGAAACCACTGCTCTATTAAATGCATCGCTCCATCCTGACCGTATGTATCAAACGGTAAAGGACAAGGCAATGAAAGAACCAACAAAAACATTCAGTCACTCACGAACAGGCGACTCACACCGCTTGCTTTTGCTCACACAGCATTTAATTGAGGCATTTTTCAAGGCTCTGAGCTGCTGACTGAGCTACTGACTGAGTACTTGATTGTCAGTTGCTCGTTTACTTTCCAATCATTCAGACTCTCACGAGGCCATGAATGATTAGGCGGATGGCTGTTCATATTCGTATGAAACCTGACTGCTTTCTGAACTGGGTAAATCCTACTGAAATGACCAAAAGCATGCGATATTCGACCGCTGTGATGAAAATACTCATGAGATTACCGAACACGTAAGCACGTAGTATGTCCGACCACCAATGATATTGATCTTGAATTCTCCTGTGATTTAGTGAGTCGCATGAATGAAGTCGCCTCAGATTCTAGTCTCCACCAGTTTGGTCAATGCCGTCGTGAACTCTTTAGAACGGGTAATTTCGCCGAAGGACACTCCGCTGCCAAAAAAACAGTTGAATGGGTAAGGATGTTTCACCACCCGTAATTTTGACGCAAATCATTTTACAGCCAAAAACTCCTTCTTTTTAACATACAGATTCTCATAAATATTTATATCAATAGTAAATCTCGCAATAATTACGATTAACTATTGATTTAAACATTTATGGGAATTGGCATTAAAAAGTCACCTTATACCTTATAGTCTTGAAATTCATCTTCCATCACCAGCCAGTAACGGCAACAACGACCTTGAAAATGGCACATTCCAAAAACAGACAACAGCAATGAAGTTTTATTTCAAGCTACAGCTTAAGAACCTGCAACTAGTTTCGCTGACCAAAAACATAAGAGCAGTTCCAGGTCAAATAGCAAAAAAATAAACAAATTTTAGATTATACCTCTCAGAATTCTATGAAAATTCGTTCGCTCACGGCAATGAACGCCTATTTTTTTTAAAATGGCGTATTCGATATTGTATAATAAATCATAGTTTGAAAACGGCTCATCTATTCGAAATTATATCTGATAAATATTGGTAAGAAAATGGATTGTTTTCAGCACTTAAAGAAATCCCATTTTTCGTAAAAAAAATAGCTTTTAAAAACATCAGTTACAAAAAAAAAAAAGTACAATTTAATAATGAGTTGAATTGGTAAGTGTATTTAGAGTTGAATTGGTAAGTGTATAAGTATAAAGCTGATTTTTGCCAATTTTTTAGTGTCCGTTGGGTCTATTTTAGAAAAGTTAGCATTCAAAGTGTCATATATAAAAAAAAATCTTTAAAATGCACTTTTCTGCTTTTGAAGTTTTTAGCATATTTATTTTTTTGTCGAAAATTTGCTACGTTTTTACAGTGTGTTTTTTTTTTTTTTTTTTTGAAAAGACAATAAATTTTCCTATAAATTTGTCTCAGACATAATTTTGATTAGTTCAGCCGTTTTTGTGCTACGACTTATTGAACATTATCGAATACGCCATGTTGAAAAATTAGGTGAGAATCAAAATAATCAAATTCCGACAAAAACTTGGATCATTGCCCCAAGTGAACAATTGTGCGACGTTGTATGGAATTCGGAGAGGGGAAAACATTAAATCGATTCGTCAGTTGGCGTGGAACTGCTCATAATTGACATTTAGAAACGTAGGTCTAGACTTAAGAATTACTCTTCGGATGCGGTCCATTCACCAAACTTATTACCGATTTCGAAGTCTGTTGATCGACGGTTGATAGCCGATCCCTCCTACTCCATCACCGATGATGGTAGGGATGTTGAATTTCAGCCTAGAGGTCAAATTCGGCATCGCAACAACGCGGTCGATGGTACGTTCTACTCGAAACCAAATAACCCCTTTTAGCTTTTACACACAAATTGAAAGGTTATGTCCGGATGTTCAGTGCCAGCGCATCGATCTGGGGCAAATCGACAGGTCCACCGAATTGTGCGGAGGTGAGTTATGACCCGACTACCGCTGATACCACGATTGTCGGTGACGGGGCAAAGCTTCTTACGCGCGCACACTCGCGAACGCATTTAAATCACGTTCGAAAGGAAACCTGTGCACGACCTGCGCACCGTCGATGATCGAATGTAATGGTCCATCTGGTTCGTGGTCGGCCTTCAAGAATATCTAACCACACTTTACAGAGCCATTCTCCCATTAGAAAAGAAGATTTGAACGCTTTTTCTCGTTCGTTACGCTCGAATCCCTCTCCGTCCCTCACTGGCTGCATTGCTGGTGAATGTGACCTTCGGCCTGCAAGTAAGGAGCTACATTGCTCATCTTCCAGTACGTGTAGGTCTCTGGGCGCCCGATTCGTATCTCATATTTGAACCGCGTTCAGTGGCGTCAGTCACATGTACTGCAAGGGTAATCTTCTAGGAAACCCCAACCTTAGAACACCATTGCCCGAGCTTCAAGCACTGTGTGCCTCCACCAACATTGGGAAAATAGCGCGAGATTCTGCCCCGCACCCAGAACCCGTTGCAGCATCATCGCGCTTCCATCATCATTCCTCTCGGCACTCGGAGGGTACTCGGCATCAGTAAGTACTCTTCGTTCCGATGCGCTGCTGGCTGGCTGGTTACCTGTCTGGCTGCACCCTAATTCTAATTTCGGTCTCTCGATCATTTCTTGTTATGTTTCAACATCTATCGCGGTAATTTCGCGCGCAGAGCATCAGCATCGGATGCCACCGTCCGCGAAGTGAAGATTGTTGTGTTTTCAAGGAAGAGACAGTTTCGAAACAGTTCTGCGGTGGTCCCTCCCACGAAAAGGAAGAACGATCGTCATCTGGAGCATTTGACCCCGGGCTAGGTTCGACTGACGGTAAATCACGCTCATCATTGGCCACTGCAAAATTGCCTCGGCATCAGTGCTGTCGTCGCAATTTCGAAAAAGTGCTTTGTTACCAGAAGTGCAGCAATTTATCCATCTTGTGCATAGTGACTTGTAGTTGTGGTGTCAACACGGATAGCTCCTCCCTGCCATTGGCATCGTTAAAGTATCGTTCAGATTAAACAAACTGTTGGAAGCAGTAAGACACGAAGTCGACCTCTGCAGAATTCTACACCCAGTGCTGTGCCTCGTTTGAAGTGCTCCAGAGTACTCAGTTTTTGTCTCCCGCAGTCGGATTGCAGTCAAGGTAAGTTCTGTTGGGCCACTTTGGAAGAAAGGTCTACCCGCTCGCTCGTTCGCTCTTGGCTGAAGTCGACAATTTATCACTCTATTTGTGTTCGCCACCACGCGGTAGATTTGCGAACATCACCCACTGTTGGCCATGGGTTCAAAATAGCCGCATGATTTATGAGCTGTTACAAAGGCACTAATCTAAGACGATGATCGATCAACTTTGTGCATTCGCGCCCAAACTTAAGCAGCCGCAGAATAAAAAGTGCAACCGAGGGGAAAATCCAAATTACAGTGATTATGGCCAAAATCTGCTAGTCGTTCTCAGTGGACAGGGGTGCAGCGATGGTTGGGAACTATGAAGTGTGAACAGTTATTTGATCATCCCTACTACGGACAAGCAACTGCTGATGAAAATGCTGCTCGTTTGTTTCGAGGGCCAATTTGCGAGAATTGGCGGGAATCATATTACTTTTGCTCGTCAAATTTTTCGCTCGAGCTGTGTTGTGTATGAATCGAGAAGAGGAAAACGATACATTCCGGGGTTTGGCAGTTTGTGAAACATTATTAAGTGTAAAAGATTAATGAACCTGGTCTACATACAAGATAAGTGCACAGTGATGATGTGTTTTGGTTTTGGAATAATGTTAACGTTTCATATGTACCTAAGCAGCACTGAATATAGATCTCATATTGGTATCGCAAGAGTAGTCAAGCAATAATATAGAGTTATGGAGGTGACGAGTTCGATTCCCAGTATGGTAAATTGTAATTATTGGGTTATTTTTTGGTTTCCCAGGAAATGAGGACTGTTGAAAAAATGATAATAACGCATCAGAAAAAATTAACATAATGAAAAACATGAAATGACACCATTCAGAAAGACTTTGAACGCCCTATACGAAAAATATGGCAGTACGGAAATCAACAGCTCCGCTGTGGTACCGGATGGTCCTGGAATGGGGTAGGTACTCCGCAAAGCAACGATAGCCACAAACGATTGTTGATTAGAGTTTTCCAGAGAGTTGAAAGTCCCGGCAATTGCAGTGATCGTTGCCTACGCACAGTGGGATATTTTTCCATTCTAGCTGGCCAAAAACATTAAACCACTCTAACTTGTCAAAAACGCTCTTTCGTTACATAGTTATATTGATTTGAGGTCAAACCGAGGCTGGGTCGTGTTTTGGGAGGGAGGGTCTGTTTCTGAAGAAGTATTGTTTTTTTTTCGAAAGTTTGTTACACAACATTTTGGAATCCATCGGTTTTAGAAATTCTGTCAAATTCCCAACAATATGGGTGTTTCCAGAACGAGGACTACGTGTAAATATCAAAATTCAATGCCCACAGCCATTTGAGAATCCAAGATGGCAGCCACCTATTTTTGAAAAACTGTCAAATACCCTGCAATATGGATATTTCCCAGCGGTTACGACGTTTAGAGGTAGAAAATTCAGGTTGGACGTCATTTTAGAATTTAAGATGGCATCCATCGGTTTTAGAAATACTCTAAAACCGATGACCACCACCTTGGATTCCAAAATGGCGACCAACGTCGATTTTCGTAGAGGTCGGTTCTGTTCCGAAAATACACACATTGTACAGCAACATCCTATGTAGGCAGGTTTTCGAAACATCGCATATGTAGATTGGCGCTGCGTAGTCAGAAAGTTCTGAACTACTATGGCCACCATCTGAAAGGACTTGTTCACTTTGCTCAAGACATCAACCTTCTATATGACCACGATTTTGAGATACAGCCTATACAGGAAGTTCATGTGCACAATAGCACCAGAGAGTGAGAGTTCTCAACTAATATGGCCAGGATCAAGAAATATTCTATGTTGGACCCCTAATCCATATATTTTGGGTCCCGTTATAAGTAATATGAAAGTATAGTATACATTTCCCAAGTAAAAATTCGGGTTTTATGAAGGTTCTGTAGACCACGGTTTAGACTTGTAGAGTGCTTTAAAACTTCAATAAAACTTGCAATGTTACTTGGGTGAAACAAATGAGATAATACACCACCTATTAGTGAACATACCATAAGCTGTGGGTATCCTTATTTGCGGCAATAAAAAAAAACAAAAGGAAACCTCCTACAGAGTGGTTTTTACGGAGTCATTCTTACACTTAACAAATGTGTTATTGGATTTTACATCGACAAAACTAAACAAGGATGGACACCATCATGAGGGCCGAATGAATCATCCAATGTGGAACCCTTCCGGCTGCTAAGGCTGTAAATTACAGCTATTCCTGGCTCATCGTATCAAACATAAAGAATAAAAATTCAAACGCGTAAAATAGATCTGAACGAAACGAACAAAAACGAACAAAATCTGGCACAATTCCGTGGTATAACTTGGCTTCTCTGAGCAACATTAGAAGACGCGGCAGCAGGCGAGTTGTCTCCGAGAAGGTCCCGGATGCTGGATGAAATCCCGTAAGTCTCCCTGGGGTTCTCGAATTCGGGGCAGACGCAGAGAACGTGTTCACGTAGCTCTTCCGGAAGGATCCTCCGTCGAAATTGTAATACAGTCGGCTATGTTCAGTCTTAAGCCTCGATATGACCCTCTGATTTGGCAGATTCCGGAGGTCGGTCCATACCTTCGTGCTCCCTTTAATCTTCCGGATGAAAGGTCCTCTGGTCCTAAGCAATTGGTCACTCCACGCTTTACGAACGGATGACTTTACCCATCGTTTGATGTTCTGCAGCGAAACTTGATCCACGAAACTGGGGCCGGATGGTCCACAGTAACCCGGGACCCAAGTAATGACGGAGCTACTTGGGGCATACTTCACGGTAGCCTGAATCCACGAGTGCATTGGAGCTGTGGACATGCTTGGCATACACAGTTTTGGTCACGAATTGCTCATTTGCTAATAACTTTGCACACAGTTGACGAAACATAGTTATTTTTGAAGCAGTAGATAGAATAGAGTTTATGCTTGTTATGGATAGGTTAGAAAAGTAGATTTTAATTCTAGTAATAAACTGTATTTGGGGGCCTCATAGCCTAGTCAGTAAAGGCACGGTATTACCAAGCCGGAGGTGGCCGGTTCGATTCCCAGTCCGGTGGAGGGAATCTTTCGGGTTGGAAATTTTCTCGACTTCTTTGGGCATATAGTATCATTGTGCTTGCCACACAATATACAAATTCATGCATTGGTATTGGCTTCGAAAGCTCTCAATTAATAACTGTGGAAGTGCGTTTAGAACACTAAGTTGAGAGCACGCAATAAGTTAATATGCGCTAAGCAATAAGCTTGAAATGCGAACAAGACGAAGAAGAATAAACTGTATTTGTTTTTGCGTTGCAAAAATGAAGTGAAAATCGTTCGCTGTACATCTCGGACTTGAAGGGTAAAAATTCATTGGTGTTGACAATGTGAAGATTTACCTACTTTTTACATATTTATAGTAAACTATGATCTTAATCTATCAATTACTTGAAAAAAAAACAAATTTCAACAACTGAGTGAAAAGTTATTAACAAATGAGCAGTTAGTGTGTACAACTGTGCAGGCATGGAAAACCATTTACATTCATTTCGTGCAAATAATTTACATTCATTTGCCCCTAACTTTTTTCATCAACAGAATTCCGCAAAATGATGTATGGAGCTTTTGTAGGTTTTGTTATTAGCTACAACTTTTTTATGCAACTCAATTCCCTATCTCTTATGCATGACGAACCAGAGCAAACAGGATCCACTACTGTTTTTCAGTGAATGTATTTTACATTCACTGAAAAACAGTAACGAGTTCTGCCCGCTCTAATTTGTGATGCATAAGAGATACATATTTGAAGCATAGGAAAAAGTTGTAGCTAATAACAAAAACTACTAAATCTCTATACATCATTTTGTGAAATGCTGTTGATGAAAAAAGTTAGAGGCAAATGAATGTAAATGAATGCTTGAAATGAAGTAAATGATTTTCCATGCCTGCAACTGTGACAACATGGCTGTGAAGCGAAGCTCTTGAATGGCGCAGTACTGGCTGGTTTGCTGGTGCCGTGGCTGCTAGGAAAATTGCAGTCGCTTCGGCCGAGAAGACGGAGCACTGCCACCTTCTGAAACTCCGATACCGACGCCCGAACTGGACCGGGAACCATCCGTGTACCAGAGTGTGTATTCTGCATAGTCGGCTCCGAGAATTTCGGCTACAGACCGGCGCAAGGCCGCGGAGTTATCTCCTGCCTTGAAAAGGTTTTGATTCGGCTATCAACTTTAGAGTCGGGAGAGATTCAACTCTTCTCTCCGTGCCAGTGGACCCTACACAGAAAAAAATTCTGAATTTTAAATATCGCGTAAAATCTCCCTACGTTTAAAAAATTCACAAGCTTGCATACAATATTGCTAATTTATGCGATATTGCGCATAAATGTACACGAAATATCGCGTAAATGTATGCCAAATCTAGCGTTAATTTTATGTGCGCTATATCTCGCAGAAATTTACATGAATTGTTCGTGTGGTGTAGCCACCGGGGCCAGGTCAGCGTTGGCGACCGTTCGCAAGATTCTATTCCCCTCATCGAGGAGAAAGATCCTTCCATTACCTGCTGGCGGTGAAAGATGCTGCTTTAATGACGGTGGAAATCATAAGACGGAATCGAAAAGGGAGAACTCCTGCTTCCACGCAGGCTGAGTCAGCTGGGGTGGAAGGCAAGAGGCCTGAAATGCTCCGGATGCAGTTATTGAAGGTCGGGGCGAGTATTTCGACGTGTTTTTCCGAAAACGAAACGAATAGCCCGATTGTTGGATCGGTGGGGTCTCGAAATGGTTTTGATAAGATTGATCCGGCTTTTGCAGTCCCTCTTAACCTGGTGGAAATATGGCTCGAAGGAAAGTGTGCGATTGATAAGCACTCCTAGGACCCGAACGGAGTTTTGACGTAGGATTACGTCTTTCGGCAACATAATGGGGATGAAATAAAAAAAAACAAGATTGACCCCGCTACGAAAAGTGGTCAGGTTTTGACCACTTATAACTTTGTCAATAGGGGATGA